CAAGTGTAAAACCTCAGCATGTCTCTTAAGTGCAGCAGTCAGCTGTGCGCTTGGGGTCTGCAGGAAAGCAGGGGCACAGCACAGCCCCCTAATCGCAACACCGAAGGTGGGATGATTATCAACCTGCTGACACCAGAACCTGCCGTAGCACCACCACGTGGTTGAAGCATGCGAGATGGCCCTGAAAAGAGCCTTTGCATCCATGCTAGTGCCAGGCGCCATAAAAGGCGAAGCCCAATCATCTAACGGTCTCACAAAAGCTGTCGCGAGCCTGGACCGAGTTTGAATCGTGCCTGGACACACGCGCAATCGGTCAACGACTTCCTTCCTTTTGTTCGGGTCACGAGAAGTGACAGGGGCATCCAACTTGGACGGGCTATGTCTAAGGCCAAGATGCTCCATAGTTGATGGTTCCTGCGAACCTTCAAAATAAATTTGGGTTTTATCGTCATTGATCTCAAAGCCAACCTTTTGATCAAAAGTCGTAGTGTACTGTAAAGCAGCTTGCAAAAGTGCACGACTTCCCTGTCTAAGGACACCTATACTGCGATCGTCCATAAATGCCCAAGTTTTGAGCAAAGGATCAAGTTTCTCGACCCCTAAAGACCAAGGTCCTAAGGTGGCCGACAACCCTAAGGGGGAACAGGGACAACCCTGGGGCACGCCTCTCGTAGGGACAAGTGGCACCGCGAGGCCTCCAGAGACGGAACAGAATCTCGGACCCTGCCACGCCCGGCGAAGCGCCATGGCGATGGGTTGGGGCGTGCCCAGTTGTGTGAGGGCCTCCTCGGCAAGAGGTGGCCAGAGATGGTCAAAGGCCTTACTTAGGTCTGACTCTGCAAAGTGACTCAAGCCAGCAGAGAAAAAGTCCGCCGTGGCATGTGCAACGGAACAGCCCTTGCGGCCACACCATTGTCCTCTAGGTGGCTCCGGGCAATGTTTCAGGAGCGTTTTGTGCCAAGCACGCAAAAGGATGGAACCAACGCTGATAGGTCTACTATCAAACTCAGTCTTCTTGGGGATTCCCACCACCTTCCAGCTCCAGAGGAGGAAAGCTAAGTCCTGCGGAAGTTCAGCTTCTGAGCTGCAGACGTTGAGGGTTTCCCTCCAAAGGTCAAAGAGTTCGTCTGCAAGAGGGGTGAAGTAACGCTGCAACGAGGCAGCCTCGTGCGCCAGCCATCCATCGAAGCCTGCACTGCCTTTCGCGCTTAAAAGGGCCTCAGCAAAGTGACTGCGAGAAGGCTGCTCAAAACAAAGCTGTTCGGACCTGAAATTTGTAGCGGCCGCAATTTCACGCCAGGCTTGTGTAGCTTGGTGGCTGTCGTCCTTAGTCGGGCACCAATGCTTAGCCCAATCAACTCTCATATCCGCAGCAGAAAAGGACGCACGGAGTTGAGGCGGCTTCAAGGCTTGTTTGGCAGCATGCCAAGTATCGTGGTTGAAGTAAGTAAAGTGGCGACGCCAGCATTTACTAGCTTGTTGGGAAAGCATATCTTCCTCCTTACGAATGGCAGATGTCGCTTCCGGCGCGAGGCGCAGCGCAGCCGGGCTGGACATCGGTACGGGGGTGCGGCTCGCCAAGCCGCGTAAGGGGCGACACGATAATGGCATCGACGGCGAGTTGGGACCCGTGCCAGAGCGGGAGACCGTTCGCGACAACTTCGATGCGCCGCGCGTCGGCGACCGGCATATCGACACTCATGTCTGCAAGCCGGACGTTGCGGGCAACCCTGGCGCCAGCTTCCCGGCAGACTGACCCTGGAGGTGGCTGCCGTCGTCTTGAGTTCCATTGCCGAACCGGTCTGCGCTTCAGGCCCGAACATGCAGCGCTTCGATCGGAGAGGGGGGTCGGTGACGACACCCGGTAGCCTGCACCTGGGCCGGATGTGGCAGAATGAAGTAGACGTCAACGAGTAAGGCCAGGAGGACTCACTTTGTGCAGCACGGAATTGGTTTGTCGCAGTCCGTCGTGGTGGCCAAGCGCAAAAAGCTCGCGGAGCTAACGCGTCGCCTGCGCGCATCCCTCTGCTTGGAATATGGTTGGCCGTACGAGTAGAACAATCGCATGAAGGCAGCAGCAGTGCCACCTCACTGCGCTTGCCGAGGTCACGCGTGACATGCAGTCGTGGTACTGCGCCGTCCAACGAAGCAGTGATTTCTTCCGAGTGCTCTTTCGCCGCCTGCATTTGCCTCTCCCGCTTGGACGCGAGTGAACCTGCTAACTCGGGTCAGCCTCCAGCCTCATGCGGTGCTTTTTGCAGTATTCAGAACTGAACATAACGAACATCCAGCACGGCGGGACGTTGCAGTCAACAACTGCGACCATGATCTATACACAGCGGGTTTCTCTGCATTTCATCTCTCTTTCAGGGCCATCGCACTCTTCATGAGCTTCGCCGTCACTCTAAATAAAGCCCCTGCCAATTTCTGTAGTTACTCACACACGCACATGCATGGTTCTCTGCATGCTTAGCTAAACAAAAGTGGGAAGCACCTTGTTCTGCACAGCGGGTGCTACCCCTCCGGAGAAACGCCGTCATGGCACCATTGCTGAAGTCCAGCTGCACTGCTGCAAGACATGCTGACATAGACGAGTCATGAATGGATGAAGCGATTTGCTCTGGACATGCACCATCCCGATAATGCACGTACTGCACATCATGTGGCTGCTGCTGGCTGTTTGTCAATACGAATGCCTAGTGCACACTCGAGTGCGTGCTTGAGCAATTGGCAGTGGGCCCCATAGCATTAGCACCACAACACAGGTACGGGTACCTACCACATCCAAGGCCAGGCCTGCGAAACCAGGAGCTCTGGCTACATTACGTATCGCCGTATCCTGTTTCGGAATCTTCGACTCGTCGATTGTGGCGGCTGTGGCCTTGGCCTTCCGGAGTCGGGTGCCTGCATCTAGCGATTGCGCGGTGCTGCTGATAGTCGCCGCTTGTTCTGCTCGTCGTGATAGCGATGCAGGCTACTGATGATGGTGACTCATTGCGGATTGCTCTGACTTGTATGAGTGTAAGGTCGGCGTTGCCAGGGAGCTGCTTGGCCACGTCCTTTTACGAGTACTGTCTTTTTGCAAGTGTGTGTGGAATAGCTGATCTGAGTGAAGACCTCGTCGCAGGATCGACTTTCTAGATGATTTGTACTGTGCGCAGCTGACGATCCCATGCCACTCCGACTCCTACATGAGTGACGGCTGTTGTTCATTATATGGGTCCTGGCTGCTATTCCAATGTCCGGCTATTGTAATGTCCGGACCTGATCTCGTTTACCCATCATAGTTTTGCAAGCTAATCTCGTGCAATATAGATCATAGTACTGAGAAGCGCATGCTGAAATGCTTGTAGTCATGGGGTGGAATGGAGGAAGCCAAGCAATCTGAGGTTGCGGAGCGTAGCTTCTAGATATCGGATTTGGAGTCTGGCACCTGACTTTAGGATTTGTGGGCAAGGTTTAGACCGTAAGTCATTCTCTGTGATTGCTACTTCCAGAAACTAGCTTGCTGGTTTAAAGGAAAACGTTGCTTCCTTTCATGAAAATAGGGCTTCCAAAGAAATTGTCACTGCCAAAACCGGCCTCTGCTTTCCAAAGCCGACGAACCGTACAATCTGGAACACGTTTAGATCGCGTTTGGATCTCTTTTGGGGGCCGGGTATCATGTTGAAGTTTTCGGTCACCCGAATGATACAAGCCAGACCCTTCCGTGGCTCCCACTCTAATCCTCTCTTTGCTCACATGTCAATGCACTGCAGTGCCCGTTGCTGCTCACACTCTGTGGCGACAGCTGGGCCCTACATGGAATCCCGGGTGCCATACAAGCAGCCACTGGGTTGCCATTGCCATCAGCGGATGCTTACAGCGGTACTGGCATAGGTGGAACAGTGCTGGCAGTCGGTGCACGCCACAAACGCTCCAGCAGAACCGACGCTGCGAAGGTCGAGGTAGTGATTCTCGATGTCCTCTCGGTGCGCTGTTACGTGGCTACTAGTCCGTTTGGTCCCGACCTTACTGAGCGCTCTCGGTCAACATCGGGCCTCATAGCCGCCGTCGAGAGTGTAGAGGACTCTGAGGTCGTTGGCTCTGACACGACATGTCTTGGCTAGGGTAGCATCCTCCTGAGACCAAGCTCGACTCCAGATTGCAAATCGGCTCACCTGGCGAGGGAAAGTCAGATCTTTCAAAGGGACAACTTTCCCCCTTTGAACCTGGAGCATCGCCCTCAGCCCACCTGATTGGCAAAGTTTCGCGAAAGGTGACCGCCGCCGATAGTTATTGTCCCGTCCATCGAGGGGTTATGATTACCAACAGGGTACGAGCAGGAGTTGATCTTGACGCCGTCTATGAAATAGTAAGCTTGCTGCGTGCTCTTGGAGAGGACCAGGACGACATGGTGCCACTTGTGGTCGAACAAGTTGGGGCCAGACAGCGAGGTGCCCATTGGGCCCTGCAAGATACCACCAATGAAATGATTTCCATCCGGCCTCACGAAAAGGCCCACCGAACGCCGGCGGTTGGAAGTGCTGTACGTGTTATCGTTGAACTCGTAAGAGCCCATTATGTTCGTCTGATCTGGTGGTGTCTCGTGAAACTTCATGACCACTTCCCATGTCATGTCGCCTGTAGTGAGCTCATTCCACAAGTTCGTGACCTGGGGGCAACCGACTCAACACGGAGTGACTCAGTATGAATCATCGGCACAGGTCACACTCTCATCGCCCCTCTTCAGACACTTTCCTATGCGTGCCATGTCTCAAGTGTCACGATCTGGCTGTCCCGATGCTTAGAAGCGACAGCCGGAGCTGCACCAAGGTGCTGAACACAGCTCGCGCGCCGAAACACGGACTTTCGAGCGGCCCCAACGAAAGTGCACGAACAGCCTTTGAACAGATACGCCGCCCTAATTACGCCTCTTCCGCCCCTCGCATGTAAACCCTTTCCAGCGCGCCTGGCCTGGCCGTGCTGGCGCGTGCTGAAGGCGAGGTAGTTCCCGTTGCCGCTCTTATAGTTCTGGGAAGGCTTGTCCTCCTGGTGGCAGCAAAGCTGTGCAGTGCGCGGAAAAGACTCACGTGTCATGTCTGGGCCCCAGACGCCGACCACGGCCGTGGAGCCAGCGTTCGCGTTAGCGACGTCGCTGGCCGAGAAGTCCTGAAGTGCCTTCATCGCCTTGAGGCGCGTGTCGACGGAGACAAAGGGCATGGCAGACAAGATGAGGCGGTAATGATCCACGATGTTCACCAAAGTGATCAGCTTCTCGGGAGAGGTGAAGGGCCCAAAACTGACCTGCAAACAAAAGGGTCCAGGGTCGGCTGCGTCTAGGCCGTGTGCTAGATCCGTGCCCCGTGTCTCGGGCCTTGAGTCCAATCTGTAGGTTGTTGTTGGATAAAATTCCCCGGATGTTGAAGGAGACGAGGCCCGGGTTGCTGAAGCTGAAGAGTTGGAAGTCACTCTGCACCTCCTGGGGTAACTTCGATAGGTTTCACACTATAAGAACAGCGACAAAGCCCGGCTGCCCTGCCATGCTCCGGCCTGCTGCATTAGCCGGAGCTGTTCTCGCGCATCCTTGCCCCGCAATTCTTTCGTGAAGCTCTTGTTCATAAATCGATCGTAGAGCATGGAGGCCAGCGAAACCTCCAACAGGATGAATGCTTCTTTGGCTTCTTGGGTTTAGGCTTTAGTCTGCACCGTGGCCTCCTCTTCGCTCCAGTGCAGATCTTGCTTCTTTGAAGGCCGGCTCCGTGTCCGTGTCGTGTCGTTCTGAAGCAACGCCCCCGGCGCCTCCCTGTCCATGGCTTCGAGGGACCGGTCATCTTCGACTCCGTGGGTGCCGGTGGCAATGCCAATCGGGTTCCGCCATGTCTCGTGTGCAGGGAAGATGTTGCCCTGCTCGAAATCCGTGTTGCTGCCAAAGCGCTTAGTCAGGCGGAGAGTGCGGCTGAAGAGCTGGACCCCCCCAGACAGAATCACCGTGCGAAGGACGCTGAGGTCAACGCCACCCGGCTGCTTGTCCGGCCAACACACCGTGGTCTCCATCTCTGTCAGCGGAGACGGGAGTAGATCGAACTCCAAGCCGCCAACAAAGGCCAGCACCTAGTGACACCAGCAGGCTGCTGCCGCTGATGGATCGGATGCCTCCACTACTCTAGTGCGTCCGGGCAACAGGCTGAGTGGACATGCTGTAGCTCACAGTCACGCACTTCTCGATGGCAGATTCCCATGTGTAGAAGGAGTAGCCCTCCCACTTGTCAGGATTTTCCTGCATCCAGGAATTGTCACATGGAACCTCGGGGCGCCCAAACCAGCTTAGCAACGGTCAACGTTGAGTATCCAAACTCGGAGCAGTTATCTTGTCACAAGCGGCTGCCCAAGGCTCCAGTTGGATGAAATCCTGTCCAGGGCCAACTTGCCAATCACGCTTCGTCACCTGAAGCTCTGCTGTCATGAAAAACTGCTGTAGGTCCCTAGGTGCTGAGGCTTCCTGCAAGAGGGATTTTCGCGTTCTGGCCTTGTTGTTGGTACCCCGACGAGTCTTCGGCGCAAAAGCTAAGCAGCTGCTGGTGTCGGTCTCCTTGCCAGCAAACTGTGTGATGAGCTTCGTGGCGTAGTTGGCCTCGTTGTCGTGGATCTCAAAAGTGATGCCACCATCCGAGTCGTCGTCGTCATCGTCCTTTCTGACCCGCTGACGCTTCGCATCCACCTGTGCAGCGCCCACTGGGCCCGAGCCCTGCCCAGGCTGGGAGCTCTGGGAACCGGGGCGTCGTTGCGCATGAGTCTTGACGACGAGATTCCTCCCCGAATGGTGCACCAGGGGCGGAGCTCCGACGGCTGGGAAGCTTGAGTTCACGGCAGTCTGAATCAGCGAGCTGCTGTCCTTCACATGACGCCGCTGAACGGATTCAATCAAGTGCCGCAAACAAGAAATCAGCCAACGCCCGGTTCCTTCAAGATGGTGTTGATGATAGCGGTGGCAATGTGCGCGAATACCTCAATGAACTCCTGGCGACGGCCCGGGATCTGACTACAAGTCGGTCGCTCCCAGAAAACTATCGATCTCCTAGCCCTCCTGGTGTCGGTTGCGCATCTCGTTGTGTAAATGGTCTCAGAGTCCCTAGAGTCCTAGAGAACACAGATCCCATCAACCTCAATCATCACGCAGGCCCACCTGAATCATGTCACCGATGCGATTCAGGAAGTTCAGTGGCGGAACCTCTGGCAGTCTTGGGGTCTTTTCGGTGTGCCTAGAAGTACCCTTTCGAGTCGAGGAGCGACTTCCAGCAACTTGTTGCCGAAGCACTTAAAGACATCTGTGACGGATCCCTCCGTGGCGCAGCTAACGACCTCGCGGCCGATATTCACCACCGCCTCCCGGGCCAAAAAAAAACCCAAGCCCCAAGCTTCACAAGCTCTGTCGGGCCTTAATGGGCTCGAGGCCATAGCGTGTGACTGTCTTGATAGGCTCCGGCCAGTTAAGGTTCGTGTCCCCGAAGTCGAAGTCGAGGAGCGTGATGCTCTGGCCCATGAGCCTGACGCAGATCGCCCGTGGCCCGAAACTCGAATGCCCATGTGGCCGTGCATTGCCATGGGCCTGATGTAGCAGTACTGCTTGCCCCAGTCAACGTAGAGCCCATTGGAGTTCACGGTCATGCTGGGCCACTGCATGTCAGGACAAGCAGCATCCCAGTCCGTAAAGCCACCTTGGATGGAGTGAGGTTGAGGGTGAGGGTGACTTGAAGCCTAGTGTAACGTGTCCTCATGCGCAGGTGCGATGCAACTTCCAAGCGCTGAGAAGCCACGAAGAAGGATGGTCACGGCCATCTCCTCGCAGGGGAGTTCAACTCGCTCACGCTCATCCGCGCGCGCCTACACTCGAAAGCTGAAGCACTTTGCAACCCTCTCCACAGTGTCGATGACAGTGTTCGCGACAAAGGAAATCTGGTCTGAAGCGTGCTCATACGCATCACCCAGGGCATCTCCAATCATGCCAGTTCCATCCTGGCGACAAGTCTGAAGATGCAGTCCGTGCAGCTTGACGCAGCGCACGCATTCCCCAAACACAGGTCCACAACCCGGGGTCCGTAATGGTGCCAAGCGCAGCACCGCCAACGTCACTCACAGAGTCCACGACGTCGTCTATGAACTTGGCAGACACCGCCGTGTCCAGGGAAGTCTGGTTGCCTGTCCGACAAGAAGGATGATATCTCTCTGACTCTGTGTACAGATGCAAAGGCTTGTAGAATAGGGGAGGGGAGGGGAGGGGAGGGGAGGGAGGGAGGGAGGGACAGGCAAACAGAGATTAACGGAAGGAGAAACAAACGAACAGGCGCTAATCGTACAGGTCTGGCGAGCCTCGAGCATGCGATGACCGCTGCATCATTGCCTCGTGGCCCTTGGTCGCCTTGGCCCGAGCCTTCGAAGGCTTCGGTGAGGAAGGCGTGGCTTTGCCTGCGAAGACCCGCAACTTCCCCCTGTCCTGCCCCATGAACAGTTGTGAACCCACAATAACTGCTCCTTCAGCCGGCCTGAAAACGGCGTGACAAACTCTCGCTTCTGCCTTTGGTGCAGATGCTTCTGCACCACCTTCTTGAAAACGGACTGCGCCTCTGCCACGCGACTCTCCTGCGCTTCCTGGGCAAAGCTCGGCGTCGGCTCGGGTGTGCCGGCCTGGGCCTTCAGACTTTTGATCTCCTTGTCCTGAAAGCAAAAAAGGCACGAGAGACCTGGCTCCAAAAAGCCCTAAAGGCCCTAAATGTGTCGGGTCCTGCTCGTCGACCTTCTTGAGGAGCTTGTGGATCTCGACTTGTTGCAGCTCCGCGACGGTCTCCAACTGCGCCAACTTCAGCGTGATGAACTCCAAGTTGACTGCCAGCTCTCCGAAGCCGTGCCGAGGTCTAGCAGAGCCACGAGCTTCAGAGGTGCCATTTGTGCCGTTGACCGATGTGCCGTTGGTCGTGGTGTTCTTTGTGCTGTTTCCACCGGTGACGTTGCTTGCATTGACTTCATCGCTCCGGTTCTCCAACTTCGGCATTGCGTTGATCTCGTTCATGTTGTCCGCAATGTTGTGCTTGACCAGCCCTTCCAGCGTCACATTGGTAGCATTGCTCACATTCGTAGAGTTCACCGGCTTTGCATCTTCGACGGCAAGGCCGGCGACCGAGTGAGTCTCTGCTTTCACTGCCAGAAGGGATGGAGAATGTCCGGAAGACGGAGCAGATGCACAGCTGGCGTCATCGCTGGCTCTTGAGAAGACCAGCCCCGACACCAGCCAAACGGTAAGCCCTAGAAGGGCGTAAGATCGATACATCATCCGGAACTGAAGACAGGAAACGATACGTCCTATCTCGAGCCCCACAGCTCAAGCCACCCCGAAACGACAGCTTCTGCAACTTGTGCCCGCATGTGTCGTAGGCAATCGGGAACCGAACACAGCCGGACTGAAGACGATGCATTCCATTTCCTGGCGCCATGCTTTCGCTAAGCTCAGGGGCTCTGCCCTAGGCCCCACCTGACACTCGACTTGCCATTCGGCAGTCTCCAAGCGGGTGCTCCGCGCCAGCACAGGGCCCTCACTGATCAGAGGAGAAGGCCTCTACAAACTTCCCTCTTTGTCCGGATCCTGTGAATAGCCATGATGCAGGATGCTCAGCATTTTGCGAGCAGGAAGACTGCGAGGCTTCATCGCGAGTTTGGTGCTCTGCGTGGTACGCTGCAAGGCTGCAAGCAACCTTATTGAAACCTAAAGCAATGCAAGCAAAGTGTTGCTGCTGAACCCGTTTCGTTCTACAGAGCCCAAAGGGCTTTCGCATGCTTCCGGCTTCCAGCGCCCAGTTTCTTGTGACAGCCCTGCTACGGGCTGTCACCGACTACGTGACGAATCCCATCGTGAACTTCACTTGCTTCAGCGTCTCATCTCGGCCAGCCTGGCAAGAAAGACCGGACAATTAGCACTTAAAACTCACGTCCGCCAGATGAGTCTTGTCATTTAACAACACCCAAGCTGCCAGACCCACCTCCAAACCCACCTCGAACACCAGACTCCCTACTCAAACCCTAAACCCAAGATGCCTGCGCCGAAGAGAAGAGCTCGTTTTTTGCGATCAGCGCGGATGCGAAGCATCGCCTTCCACTGCGATATCTGAATACTGACTACGCAGGCCTCTACAGTAGTTGCGGATATCTTACCCTATGTGCCGCATGGTAACTGGAAGGCGAGCCTAAGCCCAAAATGTGCAAGGGAGTGTGGTGGCAGCTCGATGTTGGAGGCGAGGCACAAGACGACTCGCAGACATGCATGGGCAGGCATAGTAACGATTTCGGGAGGCGGACACTCACGGGACTGCCCTTACTAGAACTTCTAGTGCTTTGAAGAATGGGACTGCAGCAGGTGCGCGATACCAACCCAAAAACCATCACAGAAGACACACGGCGCCCGACTTAAACTCCAATCATATGTTTACGCCGTTTGGGGAAGTACAACGAGATGGAACGTAATCGAAACGGACATGCTGAAAGGCAGAGAAAAACTCAGAGCCATAAGTGCCAAACTCATAGCCATAAGTGCAAGCATCGAGGACATCAGACTTGAGTACATCATGCGCATGTTCACATTTTAGATTAGCAAGGCAGCAACAGCGGTCAGCCCAATGAACTACGAACGACGACTGCAACATGCACTGACACCAGGCGGATCAAGTGAGCAAGACGGAACACAAAATCCACCGCCCGAACAGCCAGAAAGTGTCCGGCCTCCGCATATGATCTCTGACCAACTCACCGACCTTAGCATGAGAGCAAGTCTCGCGAGCCAAAATCCGAGCATCTTCTCTCCCGCTCTTAGCATCTGTCGGCATCTGCAATCATGCTGCCCTTGTGTTTTATACTGCTGCCCTGAAGAATAAAGGACAGCCTCTTAGGCAGCAGAAGGATTCATAGCAGTTGTAAGGCTAGACCGGGTAGAAGCATCGTAGTCAATAGTCGTCGTCGGCGGCGTCGTCACAATACCCAGTAGCCGGAGTGACAGGAGTTGCTCCCTCACTGTTATTTGCCACTGTTGCTGATGTTTAACAGGTTAGTATAATCGTCCACTCCTCGGCAGCCCTTGCACCTTGGGGAGGCGATGGCGCCAGGTGAAGTTTGCATCGAGGTAGTCGAACATAGTCTCAAGAATCTCTTTCAACCTGTGCAAAATGCCCCAGCCAGGCTTTGATATTATGCCGCCACCATAGTGCACAACAAAATAGATGGTGATCTAAGAATTTGGAAGTAAGGCAAGCCAACAAAACTCGCCCAGCCTCTTGTATCTTGTCCAGACTTGCTCGAGGTGCATCACCAGGAAGCGCTGGCACCAGGAAGTGGCTCAACTAGCTTTGGTCCGGAATTAAACTAAGGATTTTTGTTGTTTTCTTTTTCTGTTTTTTTCGGGCTGTCGTGTGCTACGTGCTTCCACACCGGAGAAAAAGTCGCATAGCCTTTGGCTGTCCGGGTGAAACAAGCGGGCCTCTGGCTGTACCCTATACACCACTTACGTTCTACAGGCGGCAAGGCGGGGATGCTGTGCCCTGGCGCCTCCGCCAGATGTCGAAGTACTGCAGCTACCGGCCCTCTCCTTGCGCGCCTCTTGGTGGGCCCGCGAATCTTGGAAGATATTGTTCAGAAACCTCAGCACATTCCTAGCTGGAACCGGCCGGCTACTGATGCTCAGCCATTTCCCCCCAAACTTCCCCGCCTCTCCCATTCGAAGAAGATCAAGGAGTTGCTTATGAAGTGGGTGAGGACCTCCGAGCAATCTTGTCATGGAACTGCCTCCACACCCCAGGAAACAGGCCAATGTCGCTGGCGCTGGCACGATTGTCCATTGCAGGAAGTCCCACAATGGTCTTCTACATGTTCTTTGAAACCGCACTTTCCCATCTCCTCTGTCACTCATCTTTCTTGGCTTCCACCCCTTGCCTGCGTTGCATTACCAAGGAACAAGAGTCAGATGGAGAGCCTGTTGTTCTCTTGGTCTTTAGAAACCGTTCCAGGTAAGTACGATTTGGTTCTCATGAGGTGTTACGGTTTCTTCACACCAGTCCTTTGTTGAATTGATTATTTAAGCTTGCTTATTGTTTGTATCATGGGGTTCGTGTCTTGTTTCGTGATTTTCTCTAAGTTCAAGGGACAACACCATCAATGATTAGACTTTCCTTACTTTCATTTAAACCGTTCAACCAGTTCAATCTTATCTGGATGAAGTGTTGCCTTCAAGGATTAGTACAGAGAGCACGGGCCGGATGCCTGGTACATCTCCCCCATTTTGCCTTCTCGGCACTGGCATCTCACGAAGGTCTTGCACCTAGCAGCCCAAGAGAGGAATGCGAAGCACTTGAGACGAGCACCCACCAGTACCACCAGAAGCTCCAGCTAGCCACCAGCCTTCGCATCCACCCTAACTACATTCATAATGATCCTCCAACTTATCGTCTTGGTCACCATCGTCATAACAAGCATCGACATCATGAGCATCATCCTCATCATCATCCTGAATATGATGACTTCTATGGTTGTTCTTCTGGTTTTTAGTACTTAATGCCACCACCACGACGACAACGACTATGACTACTACTACTACTACTACTACTACTACTACTACTACTACTAGTGTTCCTCCTAGCATCCTCATCATCATCATCATCATCACCATCATCATCATCATCATCATCATCATCATCATCATCATCATCATCATGGCGTTTGTTATTGTTCATTGCTACAATTACTGTCAGTGTTGTTGTTAGTATTGTTGTTGTTGTTGCAGTTGTCGTCGTTGTTGTTGTTGTTACTGTTACTGCTACCGTTACCGTTCCAGTTACTGTTGCTGCGACTGTTACTGCAGTCCTTATTGGCATTATTCTTGTTCGTCTTGATATTGCTTATTTCTACCTTCATCATCATCATCAACATCATCATCACCATCACTATCGTTATCCTGGACATCGCCGTCGTCATCACCTTATCGTTGTCATCTTCAGCATTCAAACTGCCCATAGCAGAGCCATACTTTCAGCCTCTTTCCCCCAGTAACTGCACGTCGGCGACGAGCCGGCAGCACGCGTCCAAGAGGCTGGGGTGCAAGGCTTCGTCCTCCTTGCGGAGACAGGACTGGGTGCCGACAAGTTTCCGAGTGACCGAAGCAGTCTTCTGATTTGTCGAGAATGCCATGCAGTGGTCAGCTGGCCGTCTTGCCATACTTACTTTCATAGCTTGCACCCACTTCGTTCGTTGTCTACAGTTCAGCATCGTATTGAAAGTATCTTGTACCGTAGCTGCCACGGTTTCCGAAACGGTCCGTCCTGAGAACTGAGACGGGCTTCGCGTAGCCCGGCTATCGCGCAGCCCAACCCAGCAAATCTTCGGCCAGTGATGCTGCAAACGGTGCCTACCCAACCTCTGCCTTTCCCGAGCATCCTGATCCATCTGAATGTTCCTCTGGATCTCCAGCAGGCACCTCAGCTGGCAGCTTGTGGACCGTCCACCAATCACGTCTCACCCCATGCTGTGGACCGGAGGCAATGCTGCAAACAGCTTAGGAGCGGCACAGAATAAAGTAGCAGATGCTCTTGCCCTGCCTGGCCATATCATCTTCAACCATGTTGCGATACAGCCGTACAGTCGTGCGCTGCAACATGCAATGATTCTGGTAAAAGATGATAAACCGACACGATCTGACTAAGTGAACGTTGTCGCAATGACTCATGACTACCAGCAGCCTTATGACAATCAAGTCGAAGAGTCACATAAGTGTAGACCAGTGAAATAAGATAGCACCAGCATCCTTGCCTTCGCAAGCAGCCAGAACAGTGGCAAAAGTAAAACAACATTCACATGCCCACATGCATGTCTCCGACTGCAGCCTCGCTCTCTATTTACTTCGAGCCTGTGTGTCCTCGGACACGCAAACACTCATAGTCGCCGGCTTATGCCCTTGGTCTTGCAGGCAGAGCGCAGGCAGCACGTGCGGGTACGTGCGGGTACTTGTGGGGTGGGTCAAGAAGAAGCCCTTGGCCAAGCGAGTCGAGGCTGCGCCGCGAGCTCCAGAGCGCCTCAGCGAAAACTCAGAAAGAGAAGCTAGGCGTGGCGACATACGAGTACCAGCACACATGCACATACAGACGTATGATAAGCCTGTTTGTGTCTGTGTGTGCGCGTCAGGCTGCGCATGTGGTGTGGCCTGAATGCTTGCATGTTTACAGAATGTAATGCGCACACCAAACCCAACACCTCTCGGGAACACGGTGGCTTCGTTGCGTTCTCTTGCCGAGCGGTATTCTGAAGCTGTTGTTTCGCAGCCTTATCGCGCTCTGCGATGGTTGCAAGTTGCAAGGTTTGCAACCGTACAGAATCTAAATGCAACGGCCGCACCTTGGAAGGTCCAGCGGTGGGAGATCACCTTGCTAAGGTCCTCGGCAATATCCACTAGCTGTAGGATCCACGTCCCTGCAGCATCCTGGAACTCTGGCCGAGCCTTACATCCTTAGATCCAAACCCTGCCTTCTGAACACAGACCTGAACTTGACACCCTGGCCCTGGACTCCTGGACTCATGTCATTTCCAGCCAATCCAGCAATTCGGAGGTCCTCTTGCGGCGGCGGGCACATATCGTTCACGAGAAGGCTGTACCACATCCTCAGCTAACAAAAGCAGAGCTGCACGTTCCATACACGACCAGAAGATAACCCTGCAAAAATAGCAGCAGCCGGCAGTAGTCGCTCTAGTCGCTGTAGTCGCACTAGTCAGCAGGAGGAGTAGTAGTAGTAGTAGTCGTCGTCGTCGTCGTGGTGGTGGTGGTGCTGAAGCATTAGTAGCAGAAGAAGCACCAGCACCAGCAGCAGCAGTCGTCGTCGTAGTTCTTGTTGCTGTCGTCGTCGTTGCAGTGGTGGCGGCAGGAGTAGCACAGCATCAGTAGTTGTCGTCGTTGTCGTCGTTGTCGTGTTATTGTCAGCAGCAGCAGTGGCAGTCGCAGTGGCAGTGGAAGGTGCAGTGGCAGCAGCAGTAAAGAGTGGAAGTAGCCCTAGTCGTCGTCGTCGACGAGGTAGGTACGTGGGTACGTACGTACAAACGTACGTGAAGAAGATGCTGTTTGTTTCGCTGCTTCGGCCACTACAAGAAGACTAAGCAAGCTGAGCTCGACGCCCCCGTGGTTCTGAGAAGCTGAACATGGCTTCTGTCACTGCGGCCTCGGGCACACTGGCGCTCTCAAAACGAAAGAAACCTTAGGTTTTGAAACGTACTTGTCATCCTCAATGCTGATAGTCCTTGTGTGTACAACATATGGCATATTAGTACATAAACTATTGTCGTATAACATACCTGGATATGCTTGTACTTATTCGTATCCTTGCTTTTTTGTGTAGTTTGACAACAGATGGTATCAATGAACATTATGGATGAGCCAACCCGGGCATACCCATGTAACGGTCGAACATTGATAGCCCCAAATGTGGAAGTACTCCTAAGTCGAGTCCCAGGCCCTTGGTGTTGCTGTCGGGGAGACTGGCGTCGGCGTGACCACCCTGCAGGCATCAACGAACTGCTCGGAGCATCTTGGAGACTTAATCCAAGCTCGGAATCATCTCACAAGCCCCGGGTACGAGAGTGCACCGGATCAAATTGCGTCCACAACATAGCGGCGCGGCCTCTCGGCAGCTTTCATCGCAAGGTTCGATGGGCTCGTGACTCCCAGCGGCTTGTGCTCTGCATGCTCCACATCCTTGCTGACCTCCATACGCACCAAAAGAGGCGGAGCAGAAGCTTTGCAGGTTGACGGCTTCCGGGTAAGGATAAGGAGCGTCCCGCCTGGGCTTGGAAGCCCGCACGAATGTCTTTCAGCGTCTGAGCACCCACCAGCCCCAGGCAGCTCCTGGCGAGCTGTCCGCCAGTGCTTTGGCCCAGGCCAGCGCAGCCTCGACACCGCAGCACACAGCTGCCCGATGCTGCCCCCGCCGCTTTTCAGGCGCCGGCGGTCTGGGGGAGCGTCCTGGTGCTGCAATTCACCTCCCACGCGGGAAATGGGAAATCTCTCAATTCATCCTTGGAAGCTGGGGCGGCAGCTCTTATCCTCATCGCCTTTGACAGCCACGGGATGCAAGAGGATGCCACGGCCCGCGGCTTCAGATTTAGTTCGCGCCTGGGCCACTGAAGCCGAAGCTCAGGTCGAGCGCACCTCAGCTCTCCGAACCGTCTCAGCCTTCTGCTGTTCTCTCGGAGCCCGCAGCCTGTCATGGCGGATCGCCGGCCGCACGCCTCACGAAGAAAAAAACCACGTTATACGGGAGCCCACCAGTAGGAGCCCTGGCATCGGTCCTCGGCTGTACCAGGCTGATCACACTATGGGCGGCATTCTGACTGATGGGCTCGGAATGTCATGATGAGGTTACGAAGGGTTGAACAGGAGAAACGTGGGGAAGGCTGGGAGAGAAGCATGGGAATGCATGGCTCACTCGGACTTGAGCCAGAATGAGCGACCGGTGCCGCGCCAAGCTGAACGCCTGCTGCATGTCCAGGAGCCCTCGTGCAGCAAATCCATGGTGTAGCGGGCCTTCAGTAATTTCTCCCATGAGACACCAAAGCGATGCCCTTCGCCCTGGTCGGGAATCCGGCTATACAGAATCGGGCATGGCATTGTCACTCATACTGATCATCATCCTGCACGCGATCACATCGGGCAGCTGGCTGGGATGATGCAAAGTCACAGGCAACACAAAAGAGACGTGCATCAAGACCCCTTCGAAGTAGCCCTGCTACTCAAAGTCTGTTAGCTCCGATCCCTTAACCCCTCATCAGCTTTGTGCGCTAGGTTCCTGAGGTCCATGAAATGTCATGGGTAGCTGCCGCTACCAGTGTTGCGTGTTCACTTTTGTCTTTACGTCTTGTCCTGTAGGAACAAGTATGAATGCAGCAGATGCAGCAGCAGCAGCAGCAGCAGCAGCAGCAGCAGCACTAGGAG